ACCATTTTTCATATTCCGGATTGGGACTGAGCGTGACCTTGCCTTCTTTATCAACGGCAGAGACAGTAGATGAAGGAGAAGGGCGGCTTCCATCCACATAGGGCAAAAGTCGGTGTGCAGTCAGATTGGCAGAGACAGAGGAGAACCAGGATGGGAAATTTTTATCATCAAGTTTCTCCGGAGTCAATGAATGAAGGTTTTTGATGAATAGCTTCAATCCCGTAGGTAAATCGGCAAGAGGATCAGATTTGGCCATGGGTAATTTAAGCAGCTTCCGGCAAATCGGTGGTATTCAATTTGTGTTGATAAGATTTAGTAATTGTTGTGTTTTTGCAATTGGTAGTGGACCAATGATTGGCACGGCACAATCCACAGAGAAAGAAAAGAATTTTTTTTTTGTTTAACACAATCGCAAGGGAGAAAAAAAAATTGTGCGTTCTGGAACACTGCTAAGAAGAAGAAGACGAAAGAGTTAGAGTTTGAGGAACCCTTGCTTTGATACCATATTGGGAATTGTAATTGAACCCCAAACTATAGTGAAAAGAGTTACAGAATATATATAGATCTAACTATAAGACAAATTACATAATGACCCAGAATTAATATAAATTATATATTGTGTCTAACAATATATAGAAAGAATTATAAAACACGCATTATAGTATTATACTACATTATACTCACCTATATTTTTATTATCTTCATTTGAATAATTCATATATAACCGTTACACTATAAAAATACATGTGCACATTATTTTTTGCTACACGTACACATTAATAAGAAAATAAGAGATATCACCATAGAATAGTGTAGAAATAATACAACGGAAGAAAGAAAAAGAATAATCTAAACTTATAACACGTTCGGATTTTACAACAAAAAATAAAAAAAATAAGTACAAAAAATTGCCGGCGGTCGGAAAACGCACAGAGAAGAAAGAAAAGCGGAGTCGTCGGAGCTTTTCGAGTGTGTTTTCTTGTTGTGGATTCGCCCTCCGATCCTTATATAGAAGGGGAGAGACTCTTGGGGCGGACTGGGCGGACAACCCGAGGCGTCACAGGTTCACCATTCGCCTCCCCTTAAAGAAATGTCCACGCACGTATGATTTGGTCTTGTAAAAGAATAAGGGTTCAGCCCACGCCCTCACCACATCTGACGTGTTGCGCACGCCAACACCCGCCACCACCTGTTTCCGGGCGTGCGTGCCGAGCCAGACGGCGGCGGCAGTGCGCGAGTGCTCCCTTGGTTCTCCCTCCATAAATTTCTTTACAATGCTATTAAAGACTAACATATAAATTGAGGAAGTTGAAGAGTTTCAAGTCCGATATGGGATACTTAGATTTTACTCCTTCCAAGTGTTCGACTTTGTGAATTAATTTCTCATTCACTCAAGCACTAATTTTGGCGCACGATATATCGAAATACTCGTCTCACTTGGAACAATATTTGTCCATAATTATTTTTGAGAAATAATTTTGTGGATCTTACAGAATTTATGTTCAAAATTGTTCCGTTATGAGTTAATTCCAACAAATAGATCGGTGATACATTATTTTTGCTACCTGTACACATGATTTCCCCACAATTCACACTTTTTTTTGTTACGCGTAATTTATGCGTGTGGATATTTTTCTCCTTATTTTAAATGCAATAGGGAAAGACCGAATAAGAGCAAATAAAACCCAAAGCACCCTCATTCTAAACCCACATGAACAATAATTCTCCAAAAAATCTAAAAGCCCGAACAACAATAATGGTTCGAAAAATTTCAGATATTGTTTGGCAACTAGCATTTTATTTCAATTCATGCATTTCAATTCCAAAATTTGAAATCTTGAATTTCAAATGACAAAGGGGAGGTGCATGAATTTTAAATTAAGATTTGTCATGAATGAGAAGAATTTTACTCAAATCCAAATTCAAAATTTTTAAGTTTCCCAAACATGGAATTTGAGCCAAATCCATATTTAAAATCCAAATCCATGTTCCCTAACCATCATAGAATTGATTTAGATGGAATTGAGTTTTCCAATTTCAATTCATTTTTGGTATTATGAATTCCAAATCTACATATTTTTTGGTTACCAGACAACAAAATTGAAATTATTGTCTCCAATTCTTATTCTAGAGTTTGAATTCCGTGTACCAAAGACAGTCTTAGATCAAACTAGATGCCAATTCCTAAAGGAATGCAAATCTCTATCTCTAGATGCCCGCTGGGAGGGTTGGTTCCGTACTGATGGTGTAAATTACTTGACCGGTCAAACTATACTAGACCGGGTCTAGAATAGTTCGCTTGATTTGGCAAAGTAAAAAAGGTAAAAACACGCAAATTGACCGGTAGGATTTTAGGTGGAACACCTGTAACCCAATTTATATTATAACGGAGAATGCACGGGTGCTTTTACAAGGGAGTTTAGAGAGAATGAATTCGGATCCCCTCATTCGAGGGTTACAAGAGGTATATATACTAGGCTGGGGAGCAGGACCACGTGCGCCCACGTGGGGGTATGCTGCTGGCGTGGTGTGAAGTGACTGGCTCTGAGCTGCCTTGTCATCTTGCGCGGGGGGTGGCACCCTTGTCGCGTTCTGGTTTGGAAATATTCCCTCAGCATCCCTGCAATTCCAAACACTACAGTCCAAGTCCTTTTGGATTCCTCTTGCCGACACTTCCCCAATCTCTAGGAACTACACCGGTTGGTTCTTG